ATAATAAATTAATTCTCATTAATATTAATAGAAATTTAACTTATTATGATATTTTTGATTTTATTAGAATAAATCTCTCTACGCTCATTACTTCATAAACTTTGTTATTTCTCTAATTTATCATTTTGAAATTTATTTCTAAAAATACTCATGTTATACAATTAAATAATTATTTAATAACCTTTTTCAAAATAAACTTAAATAACTAATAAAAAGATTTACAATTAAAACTATAAAAAAACTAAAGTTTTGTGATTTGTATTTTTTATTAAAGAAATTTTATAAAATATGATTGACAACAACAAAAGAAGATTAGATACTATAAAACACTTTTATGGAGATGAGAGTATCAAAAACAAAGTATCATTAGTTATTGTTCATAATGATACATTTCATTGTGATGATGTATTCTCTGTTGTTATGTTATCATTAATAAATGGAAAGGTGCAATTTATAAGAACAAGAGATTCTGATATTATTAAAACAGGTGATTATGTTTGTGATGTTGGAGGTATATGTAATCCACATTCACACAGATTTGACCACCACATGTATTACTTTAATGAAACATTCTCTGAGGATTATGATGTTAAATTAAGTTCTTCTGGTTTGGTATACAAATATTGTACTGATGAGTTATTTAAAAAATTTGATTTGAATTTAGAAGGTGATTTTTACAACTACATACGTAATGAGATTTATGAAAACTATTTATTACCAATTGATGCTATTGATAATGGATACAATATTTTTAAGGATGTTTTACCAAGAACAATAAGTACAATAGTTGGTAGTTTCAATTCACCCAAACAAAATTTCATGGACAAAGATGGAGTGTTAGATTTTGAAAGGTATGAAGAAGAACAATATAAACAGTTTGTTAAAGCAGCTGATTTAATAAAGGATGATTTTATTAGGTTTATGACTAAAATTAAATCAGTTGATGTAAAATATTTTTCAGCTGTCAAAGAATTAGTCAATTCAACCACTGAAAAGTATATTATATCTCCCTGTATTGCATACACACAAGGTTTAATTAGTAAAATTACCAAAATATTAAACAAAGATTTGTTATTTGTGATTTATCAACAGCCTAATAAATTTAGAATCTATGCCTTTAGAAAAAGTAAAATCTCATTTGAATCAAAATGTCCTCTTTTTAAAGACTGGAGAGGTAAAAGAACTGAAGATTTAAAACAATATTCTGATTTTCCAGGGATGGAATTTGTTCATTCTTCAGGATTTACAGGACAGGCTGATAATCTTAAAACTGCCATAGCAATGTGTGAATATTCAATTAAACATAATGAGTAAATTATTTTTATTTTTTAATAACTTACTGTTTTTAAAATTGCTTTATTGTACCTTCTAGTGGGCGTATTTCTACTAAATACTAGAAAGCAAAATGTACTTTCTAAGGCATATTTAATCACTTCTGCTGATTTATTAAATTTCTTTAATAGCATATTATAACAATTACTTAGAGAATTGTCTTCTATTGTTCTTATGGCATCATTACGTGTGGGTTGTGCTTCATAATTTTCTGATAATCCTATTGAAGGTAGTGTATTTACTTTTACTCTATTCTGTATTGATCCAGGAACTATTGTATTTATTGTTCTAACTACTGTCACTGTTTCCATTTTTAAAGGGGTAGTCAACAAAAAAATTTTTATATAAAAAGGAGGTGAGTAAGTAAATTTTAATTTCAGTCTGATTTTTCTACTTGTGGTAAATTGTCTGTTTTAGTTATTCTTTCAGTTTGTTCCAACTCACGTTCTCCATCAAATCCATTATCATCTAAAATCCTTTCATAGAGAAATTCTTCGTCTGAGTCTATTTGTTCCTCATCAATTAAAAATGATGGGGTTATAGACATTTGAACTGATGGTGCAATAGTTAATCCTCTTAATCTTTCATGAATTGTTGAAATGATTTGATCAGTCTCAGCTCTTGTATTCATATTTTCAATACTCATGGGTGGAATTTTTAATTTGTAATTAGGCGCAAAGTATGTTAAATATTGATTGTATGGAATATCTTCATCTAATCTACTTCCTACTACTATACCAGTCTCATATGTCCATGCTTTTGCTACATTATCAATTGTATATCCTCCACCTCCCACTAGAATAAGTGGCAGATTAAATGATTTAACAAACTCAACACATCTTCCATGTCCTGCATGTGTCAGATTAAAACAACCTAACCTATCTCCAGATAATGAATCACCTCCACATTGCATCAAAATAGCACTGGGTTGAAAAACCTCAATAATTTTCTGTATCACAGGAACAAATATATCTTCATATGACTTATCATCAATACCATCCTTCAGGGGAACATTAATAGAATAATTCTTTCCTTTACCAAAACCTACATCATCTAATCTTCCTGTTCCTGGAAAGAAATCACCATACTTGTGGAATGATGCGGTCATAACACGATCTGTTATATAAAATGCCTCCTCTACCCCATCACCATGATGAACATCAATATCAATGTAAAGTACTCTATTATGAATTTTAAGTAATTCAAGTATTCCAAGGTTAATATCGTTTACATAACAAAATCCACTTGCTTCACATACTTTAGCATGATGGAAACCACCCGACCAATTGATAATTGTTTCATATTCACCACTGTTTAATTTATTAGCAGCCATCATTGTTGCCCCTGCTACTGATCTACAGTAATCATAAAGACCAGGGAAGATAGGACAGTCATCTTTAACGTTAAATCTGTTTACTTCTGGTAGAAAACTGTTTTCGTTGGCAGGTGAAACAGTTGATAAAAATTTTATATATTCTGGTGAATGAAAATTAACTAAATCTTTATAAGTAGCCTTATATGGCTCTACCATGTCCATTTGTTTATGGAGATTGTAGTGCATTACTAATGAGTTTGTCATTGTCACTTTTAACGGTTTCATTGGATGTCCTCTACCATAATTAAAATTTGTTATTTCATCATCGTGGATATACAAAACTCTTTTTATTTAAATGGGATAAAATTTATTTTATTTAAATTTAAAATTAAGTCTTGCACCGATGCCTCCAAATTCTGATAAGCTTTTTCCCAAATCAGTATTAAATGGCACAACAATAACTTTTATATCGTTTTCATTCATTGCACTTAAAAACCTATCCATTTTTCTTCTTTTTTCAATTTCGATAGGTTTGTAAATTTCATCAGTGATAAAGACTGTTTTAAGTGCATTGAATTTGTAGCTTTCTTTTATCTCTTTCCATCCCAAAACAACTTTTTCATCCATCTTATTTACATCAGAAATAAACTTTTCAACTGATTCTGAAATCGGTAAAGCACCCATGCTACCTTTCAAATGTTTGTATTGTGGATCTTCTAGTAATTTACTAATAAATTTTGAATTAGTTAACCCCCTATAATCAGATGGCATTTTAAATCCCATTGTGTTTTTAGGTAAATTATTTTTAAACTGATTATAAAATTGTATACAGAGATCAAAAGTACCTGTAATAACTATAAACTCAGGTTTAAATTTAATCATTTTAATAGAGTTAATAATTTGAGTAAAATTTTTTGGTTTTGATTCAAACTTGCTAATTATATGAATGTTATTTTGGTTACCTTGTGATACAACACAATCTTGTTCAAAAAATACAACAAATAAACTAATGTTTGATGTTTGTTTGGTTTCTTCTAAAATTTTCCAATCATTTTTTGTCCATTCCTGCTTCGTAATAGACATTAATTGTTCCAGTGGTATTGAAAGTGAATGATAAACACCAACTGCAACCTTTTCATGTTTCTTTGAGACTTTTCCTTTTACAAAAAGTATTCCTTCTTGTAAATCACTATCAATAGTCTCTGCTTTTATTTCTAAATTACATGTTATTCTTGTTATTCCACTTCCCTTGTCTTGAAATAATTTTCTAGTTGTTCTTGAACTTATTAAATCACCACTTTTACATAATTTAGCTAAAACGTAAATATCATCTAAACAGTTTGGAACTACAACTAAAGTATTGTTTTCTTTAGTTGAATTCTTTATAATTTTCATAAGGGGTAAAATTTGTTTGTAATTTTAATACTTAATTCTTTATCTTTTTATTAAAAACTCTTATTAAATTGTTTAAGTTAAAGGATTTGTTTATCTTAAATGTTTTTATACCAAAATTTCACTAATAATCTTGTTTTTTAAACTATGATTATTAATTTTGTTTATTTGGTATTTAATTAAACTTTAACAACTTTATTGTATTTCAATTGAAATTTGTTAATAAAAAATTTTTTTAATTGTAATAAATCAAAAGTGATGTTTTTTGAAATATTTAATTAGGAAATTAATTTGATAAAAATAATTGGATGATTTTTAAACTAATTTAGCTCAATTATTGATTAATAATTTTATGAATAATTTAATGATAACTTCCTTTTTTAACCTTCAATGAGAAACATAAACAATTCAAACAATAGCTTTTTCGATGGCAGTAAAGAGAACAGATTAAAGTTAACAAGTGATCAGACTGAAAGACTTAAGAGATTTTTTAATGAAAATCCTAAGCCTAACGCTATTGAAAGAGTGATTATTTCAAATGCATTGAACATAAGCAGTGACAAAATTAAAAACTGGTTCCAGAATTACAGAGCAAAACTCAAAAATGAGGAAGAAGAAAAGAAATCGTTATTAATGCGTCAAGATTCCATTTTTGATCTTTTTGTTCCAAAAGTATATCCACTATGCAATGACCTTTTCAAATCAAAAATCACTTTTAAATCTGTTTCATACAAACCAATCAAACGTCAATTTACTCGTAAATAAAAAATTTAAAGAATTTATTTTATTTAAAAGGCAACAAATGGTATTAAAACCAAACCACCTATCAATAAATACGCCCACAAGTTATCAGCTATCTTTTTGTAATGACACACCATTCTTTTGTGATTCCAACAATCTTTTTCTGTATCAGACATATTCAACATTCTTGATCTTGTCATTTGCTTATCAACCTGTCTATAAAGATTTTCTTTTTCTGATTTTATAAATGCTAAAAATGCAACTTCACGAGAGTAGATTTTTAAAACATCCTTCATTGTGATTTGTGTTTCTAATGTCAATCCAATATCCTCTAGAACCTTTTTTAGTTTTTTTATTAATTTAAAGAAGTTTTCCTTATCAACCTTATGATTAGTCAAATTATCAAAGTCTTCAAATACAAATTCTATCTTATCAAACATATTGTTAAATTGAACCTGTTTTATCTTAAACTTTTGTATTGGATCAAATTCTATGTAATTTGAAATTTCTATCATATAATTATCTGTTTGTGTTTGTATTCTATTGATTTCACTGTACATTTTATCTTTTTGTGACTTATTGACAGTTTTAAGGTTTAAACCTGTAGTAGCAGCAAATTCAGCAAATCCATTAGTAAAGGTGCTTCTACAACCATTTACGTTACCAACAACACATATTTTATCAAGAAAATGTGAATATATCATTATATACACACCCAATGTTATATCTAATACCAAACACAAAAATATCATTATTCGTAAAAGTATTGAAAAGTCAAAACCACATATGATGGTTACAATGAAATAAAGAAAAAGACTGATTTGAATAATGAAATAAATAGTTAATATAGTCAGTGATGTGTCCACATTATCAACCTGTGTATTATTTTTATTCCTGTTATCATTTTTACTTTTAATCCCAAACAGTGAACTGATATTATCAGTACTTGGTTTATTTACCAAATTTTCAACAGTTTTACATAAATTAATACCAATCTTAATATCATTTTGAATCTCTTTAGCATCTAAATTAAAATTCTTGATATTTGCATTAAAAGAACTCATTTCCTTTTCTATCTTCATTGATTCACAATAAAAACAATCAAAAATTTTATCAAACTTTTTTAACAAATTCTTCAAGGTTACTGATCCAGATTTCATTATATCAACAATTTCTGACATTTTTTTATTTGAATCATTTTCTTCTTCAAATGTCTTAACTATTTTACTCATATAAAGATCATCTTCATCATCATCAAAATCAAAACTATTTTTTAAATTTTTTGAATTTTTTAATCCAAAATTATACTTTGTATTCATTTTTGACTGTTTCGCTGATACCATTTCAGTAAATAATTTGCGTTTATTACTATCTGTATTTGAGTCTTCGGTGTCATTAAAATCATTCATTGGAACTTCCAGCAAATTATTTGAAATTTTGTTAATCAAGTTATTTGATCCATCATTTTGATTATTTTCTGTTTCAATATCATTAAAGGAATTTACTCTTACGGCATCAAAAGATAAGATTAAATGTGCATATCTATAACTCAACCCTGAGTAAATTAAAACCACACCAGCTAAAATTAAATAAAATCTTCCTCTAGTTCTTCCTTTACTTGCTACAATAATTAATAGACTAGCCAAAACTATAACTGCTAACAATCCTAAGAAAACAGCAAATTTACTATTATCAACAATTGAATCAATAAAGTAAGATTGAATTGTCTTTTCATTGGCTATTTTTAAAGGATTCCCTAATATAAAATTCCTAATATCTTCTAAGCAAATGCTCATTTTAAAACATTCCAAACAATCTTTTATTTGTGAATCTTAAACACATTTGTGTTAAGTTTATTAACATCTTTTTTACAAACAGTGAAGTTTATTTGATAAAGAAATAAAAATTATATTTAACAGCCCTCAAATACTAAAATTATGGCAGAAAACTACGATTATTTGTTTAAGGTTATTTTAATAGGAGATAGTGGCGTAGGTAAATCAAGCATCGTTAAAATGTTCACAGACAAAACATTTAATAAGGATCAACAGTCTACAATTGGTGTAGATTTTAAGATAAAAACATTGGATGTGGATAATAAAAGGGTTAAATTACAGATATGGGATACAGCAGGACAAGAAAAGTTTAATTCAATTGTTTCAAATTATTACAGAGGTGCTTTTGCAGTGTTAGTTATATTTGATGTAACTAAAGAAGCAACACTTAAAAACACTAAGAAATGGGTTAGTGATTTTTTTCAAAAGAACACAGTTGATGGGGTTGAAACATTCATTATTGGAAACAAAATAGATTTATTACCAAAAGAGGAGATCGATGAAAATAATCGAAAGGCTTTAGAATTGAAATTCAACCAGAAAATTACTGATCTTAATATTAGAGATTACAAGTTTATCCCAGTAAGTGCCAAAGATGACATTAATATTAACAAACTCTTTGCCACACTTGCAAGTAATTGTATGAATAAATTTCCGCCCATAACTAACCTAAAGAAAAAGGTTAGTTTAGATCAAAAACATGACAGTAGTTTTTGTTGTTAATAAATCTTTAAATACCGCTAATTAATTTTATTCTTCATCATCATTATCATATTTGTATTCATTGTCATTTGGTTTAGTTGGGAATCCTGTTGCATAAAGACATGATTTGATAATATTCTTTTGATTTTCTAAAATAGGTTTAAACTTTGAGGTAGCGTAACTGTAAACATGACCAGTTTCATTAGCAACAAGAATTAAAGCCTCAGCTCCTGTGAGGACACACAGTTCATAAGTTTTCTTCATTAGACCTTTCTTACGTTTTGAAAAAGTAACACTTCTTTTAGACTTCTTATTAATATACTCAAGAACAATTTTTTTCTTACCTGTCTTAGGAAGATTATTTTTAAGTTCTACCTGATCATTGTATCCTGGATGTACATACTCTCCATTTGTTATTTGTTGCTGATAGTGGTTCATCTGCATCTGATGAGGCAAATAGCCCATCTGGTAAGGATCAGTGTTCTCATGGCCATAAAATTGTTGGTAATGAGGGAATGGATTCATATCATTTTCATAGACATCTCTTTCATTTTCTTCATACCTAATTTGATTGTTTATCCTACTATCTTCATATCTCATTTGGTTATTAATTGTCGGTTCATCATAGTTTATCACGTAATTTTCTTCTTGATTATACATAGTAACATTTTCAGGCATGTACCTTGGAAACATTTTATAATCTTCATAATCTTCTGCTTTCCCGCTCTCCTGTTCATTGAACATGGGTATGTTTTTATTATTAGAATTCTCTGACACTTTCTCATTCTCCTTTACATTAAAGTTAAAAGTCTCTTTATAATTTTGTTCTCTTTTCCTCATTTCGATAAGGGAAAAATTCATGAAATTTTTTAAATTAAAAATCCTGCATAAAACCTGAATAGTCTAATAGGGTATTTAGTATTGGTTTACAATTAAATAATTTTAATTTTTCATTTGCATTTAATTAACATCTATTAAAAAGGTTAATGAATTTATTGACGCGTAAGTAAAATAAATGGTTTTTTTATCATAAATGTTTATTAGAAAAGTGTTTATATTAAAATATTTTGATCGATGATTTCTATAATTGTTAAATAGGATTAATGATATATTATTTTTTTAAAATTATTTTTTAAAAATATTTTATAAAATTTCTATTAGAAATAAATGTTTTAGTATTAATAGCAATACCATTGACTTAAGCCCATTACTTAATAAGTATAATTTTCTATTTTTTATTAAAAATCTATTTTCTATAATTTAATTAAGAATGCTAAACAAACAAGTAAACTCAAATACAAATTGTAAAATTTATTTAAAAAAAGAACACAGTAAATGAGAAAATGGATCTATTTTAATTATTGGAGGGAGTGCATTTTTTACAGGTGCTCCTTATTTTACAGCAAAAGCTGCCT